GAGCGGCGTCGGCGTCGGCGTCGGTGTAACCGCGCGCGTTGCATTATGGGACATTTCCCCGTTAAAGATAGCGGGAAAATATTCCCGCTAAATTTAGCAGGAAAATTTACATCACGTGACTTCGACACCAATTCAGTTTCCCCGCTAAATTTAGCAGGGAAAATGACGTCACGACTTCGTGTCACGTTACCCATAAACAAAGTCAGCGGCAGGAGGAGAGGAGGGAAGCAGGAGGAGAAGGGGGAAAAGGATGGAAGGGCACGGAGGAGGAGGAGGGGCGTACCCTCCCCTCCTTCTCCTCAAGAGGTGCCCTCTAGTTTCGCATTACACTAATTTGTAAGCGTCATTTATTTCTTTTTAGAACGCAGCTCTTAGGCGCCCGCTTTCGGCTTGAGCGGCGTCGGCCTCGGCGTCGCTGTCGCCGTCGGCGTAACCGCGCGGTGCATGATGCGGTGCATGATAAAAAAATTCCTCGCTCAATCTAGCGGGGAATTTTCCCCGCTAAATTTAGCGGAAACTTTCCCCACTAAATTTAGCGGAAAAAATTCTCCACTAAGTCTAGCGGAAAAATTTCCCCACTAAATCTAGCGGAACATTTTCCCTGCTAAATTTAGCGGAAAAATTTTCCCGCTAAATTTAGCGAAAAAATTTCCCCGCTAAATCTAGGGGAAAATTTTCCCCGCTAAATCTAGCGGAAAATTTTTCCCTAAATGGGAGCAAGCAGGAGAGGAGGAGGGGTATACCCTCCCCTCAGTACCCTTCCCTCCTCCTCCTCGAGAGCTGCGCTCTCATTCGGCGTTACAGGGAGTTGTAAAAGGTTTTCATTTTTTTTTGCGCACTCGTACCCCGCTGCGAAGCGCGCTTGACCCGGTAGCTGCGGCTTGGCTTAATTTGAAATAAATTATTGGAAACGTATATATATATATATATATATATATATATATATATATATATATATTAGCGTGATGGGCGTTGGAAACACGCCAATCAAGAGCACGCGTGATATCCACCCGGCAACGTTTTCGAAACGCACGGTGTTACCGAGCACCCAACTGAAATCGGTCCCAGGAGGTAGTTTTTAGCGTGTGCGCTATAATATTGCGTATTGCGTACGCTCGAGCCAGTCTATTGCCGCGTGCGTGGCGGAGTTCGCAACGCACGCGGCTTCCACTTGGAGGAACAAAATTCAAACCCCGCTTGGCCAAGTTTTTTTTCTTTTTTTTTTTAGTTTTGTACTGGTCTGGAAAGTTCTAGCTCATTCTCGGCTGTCTTAGTGTGTTCTGGTTCGGAACATTCCTGAACATTCCGCGTGTATAAAAAACAGCAGCAACGGGCTGCTGTGGACAGTCGCTCTTCCGTCACCGACGCAAGATGCGTTGTATACGTTCTTTCAGTCTGTAGGTAAAAGTTTGGCTTAATTAAGTGTTATCTTGAGTTCTACATTCGTTTACTAGCTTCGATGTGTGACAATATGACAAATAAAATAATTAATTAAGAAGTTAACTAATGTACTTTCGTTACTTAGCGTAGTAATCATGACGGTTATGTTCCCATCTAATGCCCACCTAGCCTTATAAATAATCGATGACGGACCCGGGTACCTCTTTCGCGTTTTTAGAAGTCTGTTCGAACTAAAATCAGATGACGACACACGGTCCACTCAAGCTGCAGGCTATTTATTTATTTATTAAAAATAATAACACTTGTTCCCCCCTCCCCCTTTCCTTTCCTACCACCACCAGGAAAAGTCTGCTCCGTTACACGAAACGAATGCTTATTCAAGCTCTTATCGAACTAGAGTTTTATATAGAAGTAGTTTGATGACATAGGGACTGAGGTGAAATTACGTTTTATATACCCAAGTATAAAATAAGAGGCGACAAGGCGATCGGTACAATAGATAACATTATTGCTGATTCGCTGACCCGGCTCCCTTTTCCGGATGTGCCTTGCCGGATGATCAACAGGCCCGCCTTTCGTAGAAAGCTCAGGGTTTTCCGAACTTGCAGTTGCGCCGCCTGGTGAGCTACTCTCCGCATCCGACGGTTTTGCGGTAAACATTTCTCCGCTGAGCTTTTCTCCGCCTCCTGGAATATGCATCAAGGTGGTAAGTTGGGCTAGTTCATGATCGTTGTATACGATGAAAAACGGCGCTAAAGGGGAGAGGACAACGAAATGAACGCAAGACAAACAAATTAGTCGATAGTTGTTTATATAGCACAAGTTTAGTTATCCAAAGTATGGCGACATTGTTACCCATTGTTGATGAGAAATTTAGCCAGTGCAGTACGACTGTAGCCTGGGGTCTTTAACATGCTGGCTGACACACGACCGCACTCCGGTACGATGCTGATTCAATTCGGAACGGACATGTGTGGGGATTGAACCTGCAGTGCGAGCTTTTGCTATACGTGCTCCGAGCTATGGGGCTCGGCCACCGTTTTCCCTAGAGTTCCTGTATAGGCTCCCTACGGGAGCCAGAGTTGCGCGTCTGTTTTCCACGTGCCTCGGCGCCACTATTCGCCGAGTTCCGATCACGCGAGGAGCAAAGTTAAAGGGCCCATGAAACGATTGTAACATCGAGAGAACGTGCACCTTATTACCCTCTTTTTGTTGACTTTAGCACAAAGACCATAAAACACGACCACTTCTCTCGAAATGTCGTGAATGCGTTGCGTAACCGCAAAAAGAAAGAGGAACTATTTCTTGACTTGACTTCACGTACGGCGGCCATAGGAACTAACTTCGTGACGTCACGGCGAGATCGCTTTTGAACAGGTATATTCTCAGTTTAAGGGAAACGTTTAGAAATTATTTCGTTCCAACATAAACAAATGAATCGAAAGTTTTATATTCTTGTTCAATACACGAAGTTTTCGCAGCGCCATCTATACGGAGTAAGTCAAAGCATCCCCTCCCCGCTGCTCCGCTGCCTAGCAACGTTGGCTGGCTGGCAGCTGCTACCGGACGAGCGGTGTGATCAACGCGATAGAAAATCCACGTTTCGGTAGCTGCGTGGTTCGATTTCTTTCTCGTGCGCCTCGTGCACCTGCCTACAACTATACTCCGTTTCACCTTACGTTGTATTGCAGCGAAGGCTGGAAGCGCGAGCTCAAAGCATTGGCATCCCCAGGTGGTCGAAATTAATGCTCAGTCCTTCGCTGGGGCGTGCCAGATGCCCGTCGTAGGTTTGGCACGTAAAACCACCACATTTTTGATAGCATTGGCAGCTGCCCTTGGTGCACGAGAGCTTGTGCCGCCGAGGTGTGCCACAGAGCAAGGAGCTCGCGCTTGTAGCCTTTCCTGCAGTGCAGCACAAGCTGAAACAGAGTATGCGCCTCGCAAGTGGGCTCATTTTCGTCTTTTGCGCATGAGAGAGGAAGTAGCGGTGACGTCAGAACGCCGAGCCCTGATTGGCTGATCGCGACCCCCTATCTCAGCGTCGTCTGCTCCTTTGCAACGCCGTCTTCTCGCAACATTGTCTGCGTCTGTCATACCTTTCCTGCTACTTTCGGAAGTGCAGGTCTTTACGAGCGAGCTCGACTTCGCCTTTCAGAGAGGGCAGACGAAATAACTCGAGTGGTACGTTGTTTTTGTCTAACAACTAGCAGACGCGCATCAAGGAGGGAAGTCAAAGGACTCACTGGCGAGGTGTCCCGAGGCGCCGAGGTTTGTTTGCTAAGAACCGAGAGGTGAGCGTGTCAGATTCCGCAAGTTCCCTCCCAAATACTTTTTCCCTCCTTTCGTGTGCGGCGAGACCCCTCACTCTTTAACGGCGTCGGCGGGTTGGCGCAGTTAACGTCGTGTGCTTTACGTGTGCTAGTCAAAGCGATGGTTGCTTTACCTTTCCTGCGTCTGTCGGAGATTCACCGCTTTTTCACCGGCGAGGCTCACCGTTGCCTCGGGAAACAAGGAGGTAACAAGAGGAAGAAATTGACCTCTTAATCTAAAATTGAGGTCAGCGATCAAAGTATAATACGGGAAGGGTTCACAAGAGCCGCGCGGGCATATTCCATTCAGCACGCCAGCCGATCGTGGGCAGACGGCCGCCGAGTCGCAGAGAACCTGCTAGGCCTAACTGCCGTGCTCGCTTGGTCGCGTTCGGTGGAATCGTGGCCGTTGGAGCTTTTCCCGGGTGTTTGTGGATCCAGCGTTCTTGTTCGTCATGGTCTGTTTCAAGTACTTTTTACTTTTTTCTTGATGCTTGAAGTCGGGACGCGTGAGAAGCGCACGTAGAAAAATAAACGTCAGTGGGTCGTCGCGACCGCGACGCTGTCGGCCATGCTGATTTGATCGTGAGAAGTGCGTAAGACAGCTTCGGGGCTGTCCTAGGATTTCGTCGTAACCTAAGCAAAACTTACGAAAATTTCGTTTCGTGAATACGAATTTGTTCTTAAGTTTCGTCTTACGCACGTTTTTGGCGTAAGATGGTTTTGTGAATCTGGCCTCTGCACTTCCGAAAGTCGCAGGAAAGGTAAGACAGACGCAGACGACGTTGCAAGCAGACGACGTTGCAAAGGAGCAGACGACGCTCAGATAGTGGGTCGCGATCAGCCAATCAGGGCTTGGCGTTCTGACGTCACCGTTACCCCCTGCGCAAGAAGCAGACGAACTTGCCCTCCGCATAGGAAGTATTCACTGGCGGCCATAGCTGTGTGCGCAACTGCTGAGCGCGTGCTGATGGCTAGCTTCCAGGGTTCTTCTGCAACGTGCATTCCACACCGTCAAAATGGCTGGTCTTAGCAGCCTATTAATGGGGAGAGAGGGAAGAGTCTGTTCTCGCTGTAGCAACGTCCACAGTGCTAAGGAGAGGACAAGACCGGAAGCCGCGTACCCCGCGGCGCGTCATGCGCACGTGACCTGGGAAACATTGTAGTAGTTGAGGGGCATCTCCGAAGGAGGAGGAAACTTTATTATTCTTCCGGGATCAGGTATTGGGGGTGGTGGAGGCCCAGAGGGCCGCCGCGATCGCCAGGGCCCGGGAGGTGGTCAGGACTTGGGCTGACTCCTCCGGGTCGCGCAACATCTGCTCCCAGAGGTGAGGGGAGGGAAGAGGGGGGTATGGGTCTGCGGGGCATTCGCAAAGGGAATGGTAATGAGTGTCGAATGCCCCGCAGGCAGGACAGGCGGGGGTGGTAAAGAGGTGTGGGTGAGTGTGTATTAGTTCTGTTCGGTGGGGGAAAGTGTGTGTTTGTAAGAGGCGCAGCATGTGTGCTGCCTCTTGGGAGAGGTGGGGGTGCGGAGGTGGGTATTGGCGGCGGAGGAGGCGGTAGTGTAGGGTAATATCCCTGTACTGCAGGAGGGAGGTAGGCTTGCCTACAGGGGCATCGCGCGTAGGCGCAGTTGAAACGGCGGCTCGGTCGATAAGTTCGCGAGCACGATCGTGCACCATCTCATTAGCGCCTACGCCTGTGTGGGCTGGTGTCCACAGCAGGGTCACGGTGTCGGATGGAGGGTTGTTGGTGAGAATTTGGAAGGCCATGGGGGAGATATTGCCGCGAATAAAATTGCGGATGGCCTGCTGAGAATCAGATAGGACGAATTGGGGGGTGGGGCTCTGGGCGAGCGCAAGGGCAATGGCCGCTTCCTCCGCCGTGGTTGTGTTTGTAGTGAGGATTGTGGCCGCCGTGACGTTTGGTGGTGGATGCTGGCCGAGAACAGCTACACAGTGTGCAGGTTTGTGAGGGTAGGGTGTGGCATCAGTGTATAGTGTGCATGGTGATGTTGAATATAGTTTGGCGTGGATGTTGACTCGTGCTAGTCGCCGGGCTTTATGGAAAGTTGGGTGCATGTGGCGAGGGATTGGGTGGACTCGAATGCGGTTACGTATGTGCGGTGGAATGGGGAGTGGGGGGATTGGGATGGTGGGGGGGAGTATGTATATAGTGTTAAGAATGTAGTGCCCTGTGGGTGAGGATGCAAGGCGGGTGAGTTGGGACATGTGGTGGGCGTCTAGGTGTTCGCGTATTGTGTTGTGTATGCCGAGGTCGAGCAGGCGGTGCGTTGGGGCGTGAGGGGGGAGTAGGAAAACATGTCTGTATGTCTTCCTGAGGAGCGCATCAAGGGAGTCGAGTTGGGTGGGTGTAAGGTTAAGGTAGGGTAGCTGGTATATAATACGGTTGAGTAGAAAACTATGGACGAGTCGGAGGCGGTCCTGTTCCTTGATGCCGTACTGTTTAGTGGCGATCCTTCTAATGAGGTGTGAGGTTTGGGTAACATATTTCTTTACGTATTGGAGGGTGGGTGCGGGTGATCTGTTGTGTGTGAGGGTGAGGCCTAAAAGTCGAACTTGTTGTGTGTGTGGTATTGGGTCAGAGTGTATAAAAAGTTGGATGGGGGGGGGGGGGGGTTTGGCGGGGTTTGTGACGAGGCGGCGTAAAGGTGAGGAGAGCGGATTTGTGTGGAGAGCATCGAGCTCCAAAGGTTTGATGTGATGAAGGACTTGGTTGAGGCCGTGTTGAAGTGTTGCTTCAATGTGTTGGTCGGAGCCAGAGTGGACCCAAAGGGCAATGTCATCTGCGTACAGTGTGCTGCGTAGTGTGGGGATAGTGAGGAGAGTACGGGCAAGTGGGATTAGGGTGAGGTTAAAGAGCATGGGCGAGAGGACCGCTCCTTGTGGCGTTCCGCGGTCTGGCATGTGGAAAGAATCAGACTGGACATGGCCCAAACGGATGGTAGCGGTACGTTTTGCGAGAAAGTTATAAATATAGTGGTAGAATTAAGTGTAGGCCTAGGTTTGGGGATGAGATTGCCTGAAGGATGCTATGGTGTGAGATATTGTCAAATGCTTTTTGGAGGTCTAGTGAGAGTATAGAGGTGTGATCTCGTTGCGGGAAGTGTTGGTGGAAATCATGATGATACTGTATCAGGGCGTCTTGCGTGGATAAGTTGGGTCGAAAGCCGACCATATTAGGTGGGTAGGTTTTTGTGTATTCAAGGTGCGCATTGTCGCGATTCTGCAGGACGTGTTCGAGAAGTTTGCCGAGACAGGAGGTGAGTGAGATGGGGCGAAGGTTGTGTATGGAGGGTGTTTTTCCAGGTTTGGGGATAAGGGTGATGTCAGAGTGTTTCCAGGTGGAGTGAAGGGTGTGGTTAAGCCAATGTTGATTGAAGAGCTGTACAAGGTGTTCTAGGACCTCCTCATTGAGGTGACGTAAGAGGGTGTTTGTGATGTTGTCATGTCCTGGTGTGGTGTTGCGTTTGAGGGCTTGCACCGCCGCTTGTAGTTCTGCAAAGGTGATGAGGGCGTCGAGCTCTGGGTTGGGGTTGCCAGTGTATTGTGGAGGACCAACAGGGTGTGATGATGGAGGTGGGATGTATATGGAGCGGAGCATCTCCGAATGCCATCTTATTTGGCCGGAAGTCCGAATATCGTTTCATGGGTCCGCGGTGCAACGAGAGACGAAGCTCCTTAGGGTCTAGCCTTGTCCTTCCGACGTCCGTGCTCACATCGATCTCGCTAGTGCTCGTGCTTGTGAGCTCACGTGCTCGTGTAGGGCAAAAAAAATTATGAAAAAAAAGAAAAAAGTTTTGAGCAGTCGACAGGATTCAAACCTGTGCGGGGACACCCCAATGGATTTCTAGTCCATCGCCACGGCCACTCGATCCCCCCTGTTGGTGCGGCCTGCCGATGTCTTTCCGAAAACGAAAGAGCGCGCGTGAGAGGAGAACTTTTCCCATTTTCCGTGGGGGCGCTGCACATCGGTGAGCGGTCTTGTGAGCTGAAAGTACTCTGTTTCACTTTATGTTGTACCGCAGGAAAGGCTATAAGCGCGAGCTCCTTGCTCTGGGGCAAATCTCGGCGGCACAAGCTCTCGTGCAGTAAGGGCAGCTGTCAACGCTATGAGCTCGCGCTTCCAGCCTTCGCTGCGGTACAACATGAGATGAAACGGGGTATAGAGAAGGCGCCCAACGCGCTCTTGCTCCGCTACCCAGATAAAATATCTGCTGTCATTGGCTTCGCCGATACCGAGGCGCTGCCGCGGTTGCAGAAGGCAGCAAAACTCGCTTTCCCCCACCTATGCACCGCTGTACTCGGCGAAAATATCGTAGTGTCACTCTGCGCTCGCGTGTGTGGTTTGTGTTGGCATTTTGGAAGCTGCCGGAAATGTAAATGCGCGTTCTAGTTCTGAGTGCCAGTGGCTGAGTGGCGATGAATTGTGCCAACTCCACTCGTGAAACAGGAAATCCTGCAGTTGATGAAGTACAATGAAGTCTCTACCGAACTTGAGTTCGCACCGCTGACTTACATGACTGGCTACTTGGCCTTCGTTTGCGAGCAAAAGGTGACCATTTTTATTTGTAGAAATTGTCGTAATTTCAAAGTAATTAGTTGAAACATTCAACCTAGCAAAGCAATTAGAATTTCTCAGTGAAAGCAAGGAAGGCTAATGTGTAGAACCCGCTAAACTTTGCAGGTGACGTGTCCTGAATGCAAGCGCAACGGGAAATGCATCACATGACGGAGCATATCAGTCCATGTTTAGCCTTGACCAGGGAGGATTCAGCTATCCACAACCTGAAGGTGTCTGGCTGTGCAAGCTCGTCTGCACCTTTGTCGAGAGGGCTCTACAGTCGGCAGAGATTCGTGGTTGTGGAAGGACTTGCAAGGTCCTCTCGAGCGCTGTGCTTCCACACCTTATGGACTGCCCGCTGATGTGGTGTGTTAACTGCCGAGACCCCTACCACAGCGAAGAGCTCTGCGAGCTCTTTCTCAGAAAACTCCTCAGACCTTTTTTGGCAAACTGGGCTGGTGACCTAAACAGCCCACTAGAGAATATATTGAGGCTTTCGCGGAAGCCTCTTTCCCGAAAGGTACTCCGCTTGTGAACTATATGACTCCCTTGGTCTGTTTTTTGTGAACAATGAAGTTTATATTGCTGAAGTTATGCACGCGGAATCCGATATTATATTGTCCTTCACAGATGAATAAATGAGACAGCTCGTGCGTGCTCGAGCGTCGGTTGAAACCAGAAATCATACGGCCTAGCTATATCCAACTATAACTCCTATATTACTGTGGTAATGGAAACGGGGCAACAGTTACGGGAACAAGAAAACGACAATTCGCTCATACTGCCAGCAGAGTGCAGCTTTAACGCGCAGCCTGCAGCTGAGTGAGCTTTTCACAGAAAGAATCATGTGCTTTTATTATAAACAGATTTGTCACATCATTCATGCAATCTGGCACTCGTTTCAATTGAGACTTGCGGCTTCATGAAAAAAAAAAATTTAAATAGCCACACCGGGCCGGGCCGGGCGTACTGCTCCTCTCTCACTATATTTCGTCTTACCATAGCGTGGACTAACCGCGAACGCTGTGCTAACGCGAGCGGCTAGCCTTTACTGCCTTGACTGGAGCACTCGCTGCACGAGCGCTCATGCAGCCGCCGAGGCTTCCTTCGAAGCAACTATCTCGCGCTTTTAGCACGCGCTGCTAACAAGTACATACTAACGTGAAACGAAGTATAGAGTTCCTCGATATGCTCCCCCGAAAGGAACTCTATCTCTCACCGATAACGAGCGCCACGGCTGGCGCTGCGGGGTAAAGTAGAATTATCGCTCTCACCGGCTCTACACCGGCGGAGTGAGGCATACGGCAGGCCGCTCCCAAGGGGAGTTCTAATCGAGTGGCCGTGCCATCGCCTTAATCACTCGGCTACGACTGCGGGACGAGTAGGGGGCTCTGAGATGTGGTAGTCACTCAAGAGCTGGGGATGTCTTGGATGAAACGTTGCATGTAGCCGCTCAACGTCTATACAGAAGAGGGCGCTGCGGTCAAATGCGTATATAATCGCGTTAAACTTTGCATTAATTGGCTCAACGTTTATAGACGAGAGGGCGCTGCGGTCAAATGCTCAAATGCGTATATAACCGCGTTCCATACCACACATTTTCTTTCTGACATGGATGAAAACGAACGAAAGGCTCGGCATGCTGTGGCTCAGCGTCTACGCAGACAAGCGCCACCAGAGCTTCGCCCCAATCATCATTCACCACGTGGAGACGCGGTCAATTTTCACTTTACACGAGCTTACTGGCACTAGTGGGACTCAAGGATACTCTCACGCAACGCCACTGGCCAAGACACTCATTTGTTGCGGTGTAATTTCAAGGACAAAAGCGATCATTCTCATTCAATTGCAATTTTCTTTCAAATTCTTTGCAAAATTTGATGACGTAGCGTGGGGATCGCAGTGCACCCCAATGACGATATTTGAATGCGGTTCATAGATTGGACCCGAGCATTGCGTGGGCACTCGATTTGGGCTCGTTATAATTACTATAGCTTCAGAAGCATTCGGGTAGTGGCCCGTGTCCAATCGCTGCAACGACGACAATAGCCGACCTATAACAATGTCTGGAACTCAGCGCGTGTCCTGTGCTTTGCCAACCCCAGCGCGTGCCTATGATCAACATTGGCGGTATATAATCGGCTCCAGATCAGGTGGCCGCTTGTTCTGGCTGCGAGTTGAGGGGGTGAACGCTGCTCGTTTTTCTTTATTTTTTTATTTTTTTTTGCTGGGACTTTTATTGCGTGGGGTGAAAAACGAACGCGTGTTTCATAGGTCTTTAACGTCAGGGATCAGTGCTAAGTGGTATTTGTGCAAAGTACAAAAATAGTTGCATCGGCCCTTTAAATTCCGTACTATATTAGCGGCGAGATGTTTCGGTGGCGCCCTCGTTCGGTTACCTTTCGTGACGTCATTACTTTGTGAACAACAAGTTCGATGGTGTTTGTAATGGGCATGGTGGAAGCCTGAAATCATAGCGCTCTCAAAGTAACACTGCCAACACCGTCAAAATTGAAGTTCTTCCATTCCTCTTATTTCCGTCGATGAGACATCCTTTGCT